CAGCCATCACCAACAAACGATTTTTCCGTGGACAAAAAGATCTCCGCGGGCCGGATGAGATGACTTCGCGGGCCGCATCCGGCCCGCGGGCCGTAGTTTGGAGACCCCTGCGCTATTCGAAATGGCTGGAAGCTTTTCATCCTTCACTGTTCTTGAACCATTATTTTTGGGATCACACGATTTAGAAATGGTTGAATAAATCCGCAAAGCTAAGAAGCAGTTTATTTTCTTATTCTTAATCTCGGCCGAGTATAATTCAATAATGCAGCTCAGTAAGTGATATATATATATATATATTTTTCTACCCTGGTTGGCGCCCCGGGTTGGCCGCCCCACCCGACCTCCCCTAGCTACGCCTTCGATCTAGGGTCACATGGACGTTAAAACAGTCCGACGAATGTCGGGGCGGCCACCCCACCCGCCCTCCCATAGCTACGCCTCTGATCTAGGGGGGGGGGGGGTGTCACAGGCCCATTAAAACAAACAGACGAACGTCCCAGGCATCTGTCACAATCAAAATGACACGAAGTAAGAGAACACCCCGACAAAGCCTGTCAAGCTGAAGAAATACAAAAATAGGTTTTGGCAGTTCTCCACAATTACCCAACACAACTCCACGTCACACACACACCACAATAACAAAAAAAAATAAAATCTGCAACTACACAATGAGACCTTACAACTCGACAAACAGCATACATGCTTATGTATGTAAGTCTGTATAAAACAAACGAGAGAGATGTGAGATCAGGCTTTCGCTTTTTTTCCCACGACACCAAAACATACCCGTGGCGTTGTCGTCAAATATCAAACACAGCGTGTACACACACACAGTATTGAATTACACCAATAGATATTGCGATGGGTTTGAACCCCCCCCCCCCCACCCAGTTATTTCGGTTTGAACGTTGATCAAGGCCTGCGACAAATACCACATTAACACCCTGGATCGGTTACACCAAAAACAACAACTAAAAACCACATCAAACAGGTGTCGTCATCATCAAACCCCCCCCCCCCCCCCCAGTTTGTTTATCACAATGTCGTAGTTATTGGTCTGTTTCAAACAACCAATCGCCTCTATAAGGCATGTATCTTACTGTTTTATATTATCACTATAGAGCACGTTTCTAGCTGTTTTAGACTATAGTCATTGTGTTGGCATAACCTCTATACACAGGGTATCATCTCTATACAGCATGTCTCTATATAACGTGTATCACCTTCAAACAGCAGGTATCACCTCTTTATAACATGTATCGCCTTTAGGCAGCATGTATCACCTCTATATAACATTTATCACCTTTATACAGAAGATATCACCTCTATATAACATGTATCACCTCTATACAGCAAGTATCACATATATTACATGTATCGCCTTTAGACAGCATGTCTCTATATAACATGTATTACCTTTAGAAAGCATGTATCACCTCTTTATTACATTTATCACCTTTAGACAGCATTATCACCTCTTTAATACATGTATCACCTTTATACAGCATGTATCACCTCTATATAACATGTATCACCTTTATACAGAGAATATCACCTCTATATAACATGTATCACCTCTATACAGCAAGTATCACATATATTACATGTATCACCATTAGACAGCATGTCTCTATATAACATGTATCACCTTTAGACAGCATGTATCACCTCTGTATAACATGTATCACCTTTAGACAGCATGTATCACCTCTGTATAACATGTATCACCTTTAGACAGCATGTATCACCTCTGTATAACATGTATCACCTTTAGACAGCATGTATCACCTCTGTATAACATGTATCACCTTTAGACAGCATGTATCACCTCTGTATAACAGGTATCATCTTTAGACAGCATGTATCACCTCTGTATAACATGTATCACCTCTGTATAACATGTATCACCTTTAGACAGCATGTATCACCTCTATACAACATGTACCACCTTTAGACAGCATGTATCACCTCTATACAGCATGTATCACCTCTGTATAACATGTATCACCTCTGTATAACATGTATCACCTTTAGACAGCATGTATCACCTCTATACAACATGTACCACCTTTAGACAGCATGTATCACCTCTATACAGCATGTATCACCTCTAACAGTCCCACACGCAGAAAGCCACCGGACCCCGACGACCCCTGCGCCGATACAAGTTTGAAGTTCCGTCACGCCTGACTGACGATGCAAGCCACGCATGGCTTGGTATTCCGACCCTTTCAAACATGCTACCAGAATGGGTGGATCTTTTTAAATTTTCCCACGGTCCGTTAACGCCAGTGGTTGGGGGTAGCCCTGGGGGGGGGGGGGAGGTGAGTCATCTATGGGGGCGGGCTAGTGAGGGCATGCTGTGGACAGGGTCGTTACGTCATTGTACAAGTAATGATATCGTAACGAAAAAGGTGTTAGGTCAATGTACGGATGGGGTTAGGTCATTTTAAGGATGAGGTTAGGTCAATGTAAGGATGGTGTTAGGTCAGTGTAAGGACGGGGTTAGGTCACTGAAAGGATGGGGTTAGGTCACTGTGGGATGAGGTTAGGCCACTGTAAGGATGGGGTTAGGTCACTCTAAGGATGTGGTTAGGTCACTGTAAGGATGTGGTTAGGTCACTGTAAGGATAGGGTTAGGTCACTGTAAGGATAGGGTTAGGTCACTATGTGGTCAAGCTGGTTAGGTCACTACATGACTTTACATATTGGAACTGATTCCATTGCAATTACATGGTGGTAAAGGTCAATGTATTACGTAGGGTAGTTAGACCTATATGTCATGATATATTACAATTACATCAATGTATATAGGTGAAGGGGGGGGGGCTATGTCCTAATATTATTGGAGTTCATGTCATTGTTATACACAGCGTGGTTGTCTAATTATATCTATATCTCTCTACTGGCTATATATGGTGTTTCTTGCTTAAGCAGAATTAATGATGTCACTATGTGTACAGACTTGGGCTAAATCTAACACAACAACAGCTGTAACAACATTAGGATGACCACAACAATGGACTCACCCACCAACAGACCCCCACATGGTAAAAAGGCAACAAGACAAACACAAACCCCAGCAAAAGACAACTGGGATCAAGATGAAGAAAGGGAATCAAAAGCTGGGGGAACTTAGCATGGGAGAGCCAGGGATGACACCAGGGGATTTTGTGCCTGGCTCGGCTGGGACAATGCTAGCTGGGACAATGCTAGCAGAGACACAACCCATGTAATTGGAAGGTTACAACTGTAGAGGCTTGGTGGGCCTTTCAAATGGTCACCAGTGTTAACAAAATCTATTGAACTAACATAATGTTAACACAATCTATTGATTCAACATTATCATAATGATTATGTTAACAAAATCTAGTGATTTAACACATTGTTAACAAAATCTATGGATTCAACATATGTTAACAAACTCCATAGATCCGCACAAGATCTACAAACTCTACCCAAAACATTGTGAACAAAATCCAATCATTTAACCTTGTTAGTAATATCATTTACAACTTGATATAAAATATTTGAATCCTCTATTTCCTGTAAATAATTGTTTTTTAAATTGAAAGTAACGTAATTAGTAGCATTAGGGCAAGAATTATATCAGCGGAATGATAAAAGTGTAAGGGTAAAGACTAGGATTTAGGTAATGGTCATGTATAATTAGACATTACCAAGTAGTTGTAACTTCAAGCCGCTATGAAGAAATTATCAGCCACGAACTAAAAACAAATACAACTTGTAATCTAAGTCTGCTATGAAGAAATTATCAGTGACGAACTAAAATCGGATACAAACTTATTGTAAATAGTGAAAGCAAAAAGAATACTTAAATAAGGAGCACAAAAACAAAACAAAACCAATAGACATTTTTTTTTCAGTTTTTACAATAAAAGAAGATTTATGACCAAACATCAAAGGAAGTATAAAAATATACTTCAATGAAGGGAAAGTGAAAGGCGGTGTTGTTAGGAAAATACAATTTGAATTAAGAGGGGTATTTTTAGCAGGTTAAATATTAGTATCTAAGTCAATGAATGGTAACATATCTTGCTGGGGTGAAACAGTGTGGGAAGGTGGCATACAGCAAACAGATCAGTATTCTCATTTAGATCAGGTTCAACAAGTACTGTACAAATATATAAAGCCCCCAGAACTAAGATCAAAAAGATCTAAATGTAATTTAAATATCACAGATGTTTATCTCATAATTGTGTATGTCATTATTGGAATCATAGTTGAAATCTATAGTTCACATATAACTATTAACTAATCAGAAAATAGTAGGTTTTGATATTAATGAGTATTTTACTAATGACAGAGGTGAAATAATACAAATTTTACTCACAACTTAATTAAGACTAAAGCAATTAAAGAATGCCCGTGATTGTGTAAAATAACAACAACCAAACTTGGATGAACAAAGAGTGGACTACACTTACAGACCAAACAGCCATATAGTCAAGTGATCAGGGTTACCAGATGGCCTTATGGGCGAGTAAGTTTCCCTTTCAAACCTGACGGTCTATGGGGCAAGTGAAGTAGAGTTCACTTGTTTCTGTGACCCAGCCGCCGTTACTCTCCTTAATGTGAGTTAGGTACCCATCAGAGTTGGGTGGACTCAGGGACGTTCTACTGAGTTGAACCCGGATTCGAACCGAGACTTAAGGGTTAGCAATCCAGCTCTCTACCGCTAGACCACTCCGTCCCATATGGGCGAGTAATTAGAGTTTTTTTATCTATGAGTATAACAAAAGAGCCACATTCACACTCTAACTTCACCAAACTTAAAAAAAGGGTATTCATCAGAGCTGAGTGGACTCAGTTATGCACTTGACCAAGAGAACTCATGACTTTTGGGTTAGTAGCAGAGTGCTCTACCACACGTTCTCAGAAATAATGTTAGAGGTAAGAAGCAAAAAAAAAAAAAAATCAAACTCTGGGTGTAAAGATTTGAACCACGACCCAGGTCAACAAAACCACAAGCAACTCACATCAGTCTCAGTAGCAATAACACGACCTCTCTTCTTGCAAACAGCATAGGACGAGCTTGGCGATGTGATGTGAGGCTGGTTCTGATCTGTGACAAACAGGGAAAGTTTGGTTAGAAACAACATGTTCCAACAGTAAGTACAGAAATATGTTAAACTTACAAACAGGGAAAGTTTGGTTAGAAACAACATGTTCCAACAGTAAGTACAGAAATATGTTAAACTTACAAACAGGGAAAGTTTGGTTAGAAACAACATGTTCCAACAGTAAGTACAGAAATATGTTAAACCAAATACAATGGAACAGACAGTGTCACTCTAAACAGCTCAGAATGATACCCATCTTTAGTGTTTGATTCAGATATTTTTCTAAATGGGGTGGGAGGGGGGGGGGGGACACTAAAAAATCTCAAAGGGGCGACAATGGTTAAATTGTTTTCTGTATTGTTGTATATAAAATATATTATGTTCAATTTTGTTAGGTGGACTTCAGGTAACACAGCCCCACCCCCCTGCCATTAAGAGATCCTTGATAGAAGCTCTGCTCTTATTAATTAATCACGACCATAACCTGGGATATCATATCTTATGTATGGAACTAAATATTTTTAATTTAAACACGCATACATACTATTTCTGGTAGTGAAAATGTGAATCTGACAGTGTAAAAACATGATAAGAATATTGTTATAAACGAAGACAAAAATACATATACATACAAACAACATTGGTCAAAATTTAAAAAAAATGCTTTAAATCAATAAAATACTAAATCAAAATGGTAAGTAATGGAAGGAGAAGGCCATACTAAAGTGACTAAACACTAAATCTAGATTTGATTTTTTTTTAACCTAATAAAATATTCAATCACCACTTCAAGAACAGCTTATCTGAACAGAAAAGCAGTAGGTGTGAATTGGAATGTGGGGTATGAATTCACAGAGTACATTCTTGGGGAGAAAAAAAATGGCCCACACCAATAGGCTCAACCAAGCGTGAAAGAACAATCAGCTTTGTAGTGCCATATTTTTGCAACAACTGGCTATAGAAGAAAGGCAAGCTGTGCTTCTACAGAGAGCCAACAGGCTGATGGTGACAATATGTGCTTGTAACACAGGATAAATATAGACTAGTTTTGTTAAAAACCAAACCAAATAATTAAGGAAACAAAACAAAAAATGCTACTGATTTACATACAAGCTGAAATACATAGAGTTCTAAGTTAAAGAAGTTTTCTATTACTTTATAGTAAACAATAGTTTACTAACAATAACATACATACGAGTTGACATACACAGAAGTCTAATTTAAAGAAGTTTTCAGTTACTTAATAGTAAACAATAGTTCACTATTGGCCTACACAAATCTTTAAGACAATTTAACAGGATATGGTTACTGCAAGCGCTAGCATAAATCTAAATAGCTAATGTTTTGATTAATCACTTGCCCTGTTATAAGGCCTAGATTTAACTATGTTAATTGTTGGTATTGCTTGCTAACATTACTTAAACTTAAGTACTCATGTTTGCTTTTAAACTAAATTAAACCCATTTTATAATAATTTATTAATACAATTTAAAATAGGCAAATTGTTCAATGCATAATTTTAATTAAATAGGCCTATACATTTCTTGAGTTCAACAAAACAAAAACTGGAAGTTATGATAAGCCTTAAAAAGCGTCACTAATTAAATAGGCTATACTAAATAAAAACCAAGTAACATGGCGATTAAAAAAAAAGATTGGAAATACTAAATATACAATATAAAGAAAACAATGTAGGCAATTTCAAATATTCTAACACTACAAAACAAGAAGGACAAATAGATCTATTGTGCCTACATGTAGAAATGTTAACTGTATTAATAGGGTAATTAGTTTTATTATGATCATTTTTCTACTTTAGCCTGTATCAGTTTTTAGTGGCATAAAGTGATTAATTAATTAGGTCTAAGGTCAGAGTGAGGTCTAGGTTAAATTAAAATTAGGTTTATGCCATGATACCAGCAAAACAAAGATTTCAATCTAGATATGTCCTATAGATTAGGCCTTAGTCATATTCTAAAAGTTGCTCAATACAATAGTCATAAGAACAATAATTTTTTAAGTAGAGGATTTAAAAAAAAAAAATGAATATTTTAGAGAGAAATGGATGTTTAGGAAAAAATTCAAATGCTATTTGGACGGGGGAGTTGTTAAAATTGTCCCAAAAAAACGTGAATCATATATGGATGATTGGATGCCCCTAAATTAATTTATATGCATCAGCCAATTAAGTTTAAGCCCTACAATATTACTAGATAGTAGACTGGGATTCTCGGTGTACTTACACTTACACTACAGGATTTAGGCCTACTATTACAGTTCACTACTTAACTTACTTATTTCAATGTAGGCCTATGCCCTATTAATTAGCCTAGACCTAGTAGGCTAATTGTAATTATGCCTAATTAAATTACTAAAATTATACAAAACAAACTCAGACTAGAGAACATGTAGTCTTATCATTCTATGACCTAAAGATCTAATTTATAACTAGATCTAGTAGTAGTGGGCCTTATACCCTTTTTAAAATAAGACAGCGTTAAAAATGTTTAGTCCAAGACCTAGATGAGATCTAGTAAGTAAACTTAAGTAGAGCAAGACATAAGGTTCTTTAGAATTTTAGGGTGATTGAAGATACCGACCAACTATATAAATTTTACTTCTTCCAAAAGTAGGTGTGTTAGGTTAATAGTAGTATTGTAATCTCGACTAGTTTTATCGTTATAAGTAAGGGTTAGGTGTATGGTAGGACTTGCAAGCCATGTGTGTATTTTAGTTAACTACCGATAACCTAACACCCCTTTTTTAAAGAAGATTCTATTATCGGATACCGGTATAAAAAATCCCCCAATTTTTAGAATGAAGGCCTAGCCTAGAGTAGAGTCTAGACTATAAAAATTTAGACTAGCCTTAGATTTAAAAACTGTTAGGCCTAGCTAGGCCTATTCTTATTAAGTTATTAGCCTACAATTACTCTAGCTAGTAATAGGCCTACTAATAGTAGTAATAGTAATAATAATAGAGTCTAGATTGGCCTAGATCTAGATCTGAATCATTCATAAAATAAGTCAATGCAAACATGAATTAGCAAAACAAAACAAATCAATAATGACAATGGTAGACTTTTAAAAAAGTTTAACTTTAAAGTCAAGTCTAATGATGGGTTTTTTTTTTCTTACTTACAGCTGGGTGGTCCTTTACCAGAACCATTTGGATCTGTGGGTCCCTTTCTAAGAAATACATCACCATGTCTACTGAGCCATATGCTATGAATCCCTGAATCATAAATATCCTGAAAATACTCCTGTTGTTGTGGTGTATTTCGAGACAAAAAAAGGGCACATTGGTAACACACAGCCCAGGCTTGCTCTTCATTGATCGGATTATTAAACACTTTCAAAATATCCACAAATGGTAAAAGCTCCATTTTGGTGAATTGTATAAGCGAAAAAAACCTAACATTGAATTTTAATTAGTTATTGATTACGACATCTGTCCCTAACTTATCACATTCCCCCCGGGTGCTTCGCTACTTCGTGACTAGACCGTCGCGAAAGAAGCGGCTGAACTATGTCAGTAACTCCACAACCCGGAAGTCTGCTCTTTTGAAAATCTTTATTTTCAAAGGAGGGTAACTCCTTAAAACTTCTTCAAAAAGGAAATAGCAATATTTATATCCCCTTTTAACTGAGTGTAAACATTTCTCCAGTCTAGTTGATCAAACATTAGGCGTTTGTTATTATTTTTGTTAATATTGATGCAGCTTGCCTAAAATATGGGTAACATCAACAAAGGATAATAAATGTTTGATTTTAATTACTTAGAACACATATAAGTTTGAGGTAAAGTTGGTTAAGCTCTGAACTTGAAAACAAAATTTGAATGTATTCTATATTCTATTTATTTAAATGAAATAAATGTGACGTGTGTCACTGTGAACTAGTTAATCTTAATATTCTTAATCTCATATAATCCGTTAGCAAAGCGCGACACCATTTAAACCATTTTAAGGGTAATTCCCTCCCCTCTCCCGCATTGAGTTTATTAAATTTGTTTTTTTTAAACCTTGTAAAATATGAAGTTTCGTATTGTTTTTTCTGATAGTTACGAAATTTGTCAACGATCTGTTAATCTAAAATACTTAAAAATATTCCAACCTCAAAGGGTGGTATTGCTTTCAGTTTCGCTAACCTTAACCCCCACCCTCCCCCAACAGGGTGGGTACAGCTAACCATGATTTATTTCAGTCATTCTCCCTAGGAGGGGGGTGGGGGGGAGGGGTACTTGAAACTTCCGAGGGAAGGGGCAGACACTAATTAAATTTATATTTTACATTTCTTCTTCTTATGCGTTCTTAATTGAGTTTATGTGGATGAACTGGACGGTGGTCTCCAGATCAGCGGGTGCCCCATATAATTTTTCCTAGAGTGAGGTTAGGTGTCATCCATAAATAATGTCACGCTTTTTTTGACGATTTTTACCCCCCCCCACCTCCGTCACACATCGTAACAAAAAGCCAGACCCCCCCTCTAAAATGACATCACACCTCACCCTACAACCCACCCCCCTCAAAATTGCAGTTGAATTTTGTTTTAAACATCGGTATTTTTCCAAAATCTTGTCTGAGCTCTGTCAACAAAGAGCATTTAAATCAATTCCTATTACAATTTATTTAAACCGTTTTCAAAAACGCGAAATAACGGCTAAAATCGTTTCCTAATATTGGTTTTTTTATATTGTAAAAGTGTGACGTCACATCTGAACCCCCCCCCCCCCCTCTCCCTCATCACACACCGTCACAGAAATACGGACCCCCTCCCCCTTACGGGTGTGACGTCATTTATGGACGATATATATATATATATATATATATATATATATATATATATATATATATATATATATATATATATATATATATATATATATATATATATATATATATATATATATATATATATATATATATATATATATTTAAAAAAATTGAGTCTAGGCATGAGGTTCTCACGAGGCTTGCTGAAGATTCAGGTTCAGCAACTCTATCTCTACCTCCTGATCATGAGCACGACCTTCTTGATTTCCCTCCACATCGTCCAGTACCACCGACTCCAGGGCAAGTACGTCTGCAAAGCTCTCCCGACCTACCCCATGAAAATACAACGCCCCCCTTCAACCTCCAGGGCGAGGCACGACCGGGACGTCTGCTTCGGCGAGCCCAAGCTGACCAAATGGGCCGACTGTCCGCAGTGCTACCGAGCCACGGTGCACAACTTGACCAAAGAGCTACACAGAGTCCCGCGGAACATCACCCTTTTCCCAAGAGGACCGCCGGCGTTTTTTCACCCGAAAAAGACGAAACAGCAGGATTTGATCTACAACGTTCTGATCGCACCGGAGTCTGTGTGTTCTAAAACCTGCCCGTATCTAGTCGCCGTCGTTCCTTCGGTGATAGACGACCAGGCCCAGCGTATCGCCATCCGCTCCACATGGGGCAGCGTGGCCAAAACCCATCTCTGGCCGTTCGCCCACGTCAACGCCGACGTGGAGCTTATCTTCGTGTTGGGTCACCAGAACAAGTACACCGAGGCGCCCGAGTCGAGTCTTGCCCAAGACATGAAGCTCGCCCAAGACGAAGCCGCGCTGTACCGGGACATCCTGTTCCTGGACATGCAGGACTCTTACTACAACCTGACCCTTAAAGTCATGTCCAGTTTACACTGGGTCCGCATACACTGCCCGGGGGCGAAGTTTGTCCTGAAGATCGACGTGGACACCTTCGTCAACATCCCGCTGCTGCTGGACCTGCTGCTGTTCAACGAGGAGCGTCTAGAGATGTCGGTGCTGGGCTACGCGTACGTGCAGAACAGCGCTTTCCGCACGGGCAAGTGGATGATCAGCCCCGAGGTCTGGCCGCCGCCCTTCTACCCGGTCTATGCGTCAGGTAAATATAGAATTACGGGATACCTTCCTTTGTACGACCAGAGTTCTAGACCAGAGGCGTAGCGACGGGGGGGGGGGGGGGGGGGGGGGGGTGGAAGAAAGCGGGGTACATATATACCCGGGCGCCGACCCTAGGGTAGCCAAAATAAGCTCATTTTAGCTGCTATTTTGAATTATAAATAAAAATATACATCGGGGAGGGTGCCAAATTGAAAGTTTGTTCCCCCGGGCGCCGGGAGGGGTCGCTACGCCTCTGCTCTAGACCGGTGCTTCTTAACCTTTTGGATGTACCAAATTCCACTAGTTTCATCTGCGCATTCACCATACCCTTCTTAATAGTTCTATAGTCCGCACTGACAAATTCCTATCGTGAAACAAATAAAGTCGGGTGTGTGTCTTGACCTCTGTCGAACCCCGAGAATGACTCATGACCACTGTGGTTCAATCAAACCCAGGTTAAGAACCACTGCTCTACAGGCTGCAATTGTTCCAACTTCACCTATTTATAAAAGTCTTAACCCAAAATTTGCTACACCTGCAATCAGGTTAAGAAAATGACACGGGAATGAGGACTGCAGATTTTTGGTTGGCGGCCCATGCAACCCCCCCCCCCTCTCCCGGGGGGTGACGGGCAGCGTTGACGATGATGAACCCAAAATTAACTGTGACAATATTCACTTATATCACCAAACCACTGTTCGCTAATTCTAATCGAAACTTAATTATGTATCATATTTAAATATATTTAACGGTTTTACCCAAACATCCTAGCCTAATCTACACTAGCCTTTACCGAAACCGCAAATTAATTATGTATCGAAACACTTGATTGCTTGCCTTGACTGAGGAACAAAGCCATAATCATGCGGAATCACGCCGGTCTTTAGCCTTATATCAAGCAGTCTCAGTTTCTGTTAAAGATTAAACACGTCTTTCATTATTTAAACAATGGGTACAGGTCAAAGTTTCTTCCAGGCGTCTCTTCGGGGGGGGGGGGGGGGGCCTCCCCAAAGAAAGTCCTATCGCCCCCCCCCCCCCCCCGAACGAGATGGAATTTATATAGTAAACATATAATTACATATACTTTTACTAGTGTCCGCCCTCCCCCCGGAAAATGTAGACCCCCCCCCCCCCCCGAAAATATCTCCTTTTCGTCAGCCAATTGAAACATATTGGGGCTAGTTTTGTACCCGTGTCAATAGGATTTGGTGCAAGTCTTTTTGTTCGCGCGTGAAAAATAACGGTCATTAACGGCTTAAGTGGACCATTACTAGATAATGGCGTAGCGAAAACGAAGTGGGTGATATACGATTCTTCTTTTTATGTATAGGCTATTCACTATAGTGAAATAATTGATAGCCTGCCTTTTCTAAGTAGTTTTATAAAGATGTATGTGTATGTGCGCGCTTGTTGATCTATAACAGGGGTTCCCAACCTTTTTTTTACTCTAGAGCACATTCTAAAATATCAGTAGGCTGGCGGGCACCACCTATTTTAAATCGACAAACTCCTTCCAGAGTCGTAGCGACCCTTCCCGTCACCCGGGGACAAAACTTTCGATTTGCACCCCCCCCCCCCCCCTCAAACTTTCGATTTCCATTCCCTTCAACCTTTCAATAATGATTATGAACAAAATTCTGTCTCTGTCGAATAGTGAGAGGCGGGCACATACAAATCGTTCGGCGGGCGCCATGGCGCCCGCGGGCACGGGGTTGGGAACCCCTGATCTATAACAATCTTTTTGTGTTTATGTACGCGCTTGTAGTTTTATAAAGATAGGTTTGTATGTGTGTGTTTATGTGTGTGTGTGTGTTCGTGCACGCGCTTGTAGTTCTATAAAGATATAGGTTACTTTTTTGTGTGTATGTGCGCGCGCTTGTTAATATGGCTGAGAACCCGAAAATTCGATCTACACCATTTTCCCTTCTCTGATAAAGTGTGACGTGGGTGGTGTAATTTCATGTTTTCTTAACCTTTATAACACAAAGATTTGTTTTTAACGGTTTAAAAAAAAAATTACCGGCTCTTTTCGTTATGATTACGTGATAATAATACTAAAATCTACAAAATGAACGGCTTTTTAAAAAGTTTTAATATTATCAGTTCATCGCTATCGTAGAATAAAACGTGAGTACATTATTTAACGTAGCCTAATTCCATTCCCCAACACATTTCGCAGGGACCAGCTTCGTCCTCTCCTCGTCCCTGCTGGGGAGCCTGGCTGAGGCGTATGAATACATTCCCGCCAACTGGACCTACAGCTCCCTGCCCGTGTACTTGCGCGACTGTTACATCACAGGGGTGCTGGCGGACGCGCTGAGCGTCGAGACCCACACCCTCCCGGGGTTCCTCCCCGACAAGCCCCATTGGCCGCGGTGCGCCATGATACACGATCGAATCCTGATGGGTCAGACCGATTTTTTTAAAACCTGGAGGGCTTTTTATCGGTTCTACGGAGGCTGCTGGAAAATTTACACGGAATGAACTTTTTTATCTCCCCATTTTATTTGGAAATTTCATTTTATAAGCTTAAATATATGCTACATAATGAACTATTTTATAATGAGTATTGTGATAAATATAGAAATGCAACGATACAATCTAGATGGCCTTTTTTGTTGTTTGTATTCTCTTATAGCAGTGGCGTAGCCAGGATCGTCTCAAGGGGGGGTTTCCAATTTTTACCCGGGGACAAACTTTCGATTTGCACCCCCCCCCTCAAACTTTCGTTTTGCACCCCCCCACCCCCCTCAAACTTTCGATTTGCACCCCCCCCCCTCAAACTTTCGATTTGCACCCCCCTCATACTTTTTATATATACCGAGGGGTCTATGGGGGGGGGGTTATGACCCCCCTAACCCCCCCCCCCTGCCTACGCCACTGTCTTATAGTGTAAAACCACGGATTTTAACATTTTATCTTTTATATCTTTTACTAGCCGTCCCGGCCAGGCCCTGCTCTGGCTTCTGTGAAAAACCTTTCTGTTAAAGACCATTACCTGTGTGTTTAGTAATCATCATAAACCCGGCATTGCACACCCAAACCCAAACCAAAACAACAAAACGCAAACATAACGCTAACACAATTACAAATACAAACGAAAACAAAAACCTAACAACTAACCCAACCACAACCACAAACACCAATACGAACACAAAGAAAAAAACAAACGAAAAAGCAAACGAAAACAAACCAAATCCAAAAGCAAAACCAACCACAAACCCAAAGAAAAAAACACAAACGAAAAAACAAACGAAAACAAACCAAATACAAACGCAAAACCAACCACAAACACAAATACAAACACAAATGCAAAGAAGATAAAACACAAACGAAAACGAAAAAAGAAAGAACAAAAACGAACCAAATCAAAACGCAACCACTAACGCAAACTCAACCTAAACACAAAGAAAACACTAACGCGAACATAAACGCACAGTGCTCAGAGTCTAGCCCGGGGCGGAATCGCCTGTTTCAGCTTAATAAACGACTCTAGTACCCCAACTTATTCATAGTCTTTTGCACTCACTTTAATGAACGTAGGCGCCAAACCGAACACGGGAGGCCCGGGACCCCAAATAGCACCCTGTCTGGGCGCCAGAGGACGCACCATGACGTCACCGCCTAATTGAACTTAGTAAACGACTATAGTACATAACTTATTCATAGTCTTTTGAACTCACGCGAACGTATATACCTTAGCGTACACCGGAAGGCCCGGGGCGCAAAATAGCACCCTGTCGGGGTGCCGGAGGACGCCCGGATTTGATTCACTTAAAGACTATAGTAACCTTTCTTACCCATAGTCTATCGCACTGTTAAAAACAAAACTATGCAGCATAGCGCTCACATGATAGCCCAGGGTGCCAAATCGAACCGTGCAAGGGCGCCGGCGGACGCGCCTGTTTCAATTTAGTGAACAAAAATGATAATACTCCAAGCTTATCCGTAAATGGAAAGAAATAAACATATAGGATTTGTAGGACCTGGCTTATTAAATGTTATTGATTTAAAAAAAAATATTGAACAGTATGTTCAGTGTATAGAATAAATAAAAGGCAGTGTTAAAAATACCTAACGACATTGCACTTAATCAATCCCCGCTAATTATGTAATTTTTTTTTTTTTCTTAACACCAAAAACAAAGTAATAAAATGTAAATTCTTTCTTCTTAAGAATTTTTTTTATTAAAGGGAAGTAACTGTGCAGTCAATACATTTCCGACACAATTTTAGAAATTTTATAAACGTCGATACACTTTTTAAAAATTTTATGTCGCGTTCATAATTGAAAATTATTCTTCTAAGTAAATAGAGTGAAAATTTTTTTTAAAGACTTTCAATGGTAATATTTTTTGACTCGTACATTTAGACTGTGAGCACGATAAAAAATCTAACACTTAAATCCATAGAACTGTCAACGACAAACTTTTTTTTTGCCACACGTTACAGAACTGAGCTTTATATATTAGATACGCGAGTTTATGAATTCGATCTTGACTTAAGTATTTCAAAATTTCATCCACGCCAGGAAGTGTGAAGTAAAAATCTGTAATTTTAAAGTGCTACGTGGATTTGGTGTTTCACCACTAAGCTACAGAAAGTCGTAACAAAAAAGCAGAGATTGCATAATATATACGGAATGTCAGGGTCACCCAGTGTTTCTTTCAGACTTTTTTCTGAGGCGGGGGTGTGGGGGGGACGACTTGAAACTTTCGGAGTAATAAAAGTATATTTTTATATAAATTCTATTTAATTCCGCGGAGGGGTGGAAGGCGGTGCCTCGCCGACCCCTAAAGAGATGCCTGAAAGAAACTCTGATGTCCCCAAGTCTGGATTTATCATGGCCCTCTTCACACTGTGGGATGTTTGTAGAGAAGTCTCTACCAAAATGCCTTTAGTAAAAACATACATACATTAAAAATAGACACATTATTTTATTAGCTGCTTCAACAAATATCGAATCAACGGGACAAAAACTCAGCAATTGTCTCGGGTGTCGGTAAACAAATAACAAACTAACACCGATTGTTCCCGCAAAAACAAATTTATAGTAATTATACTAGGGCTGATTTAAAAAATAATAATTCTGAACGGAAACATTTCACCACAGAAAAGAATAAAAAAGAATATTTAGTCTTCGACATGATTTCTCTTTTAATATGAGTCATTTCTTTCATTCCGCTCTGCACTTCGGTACAAAGGGACCGTGCACATAATATATGACACCAATGGGTGATTGGGGTTTTTGTTACAGGTGACCACGTTTACATTTGCGACATGCATTCTATACATGTCTATAATATAAAAAAACAACTCGCAACATGTAAGTATACACGTTCCGTGGGGAAAATTGTGTTTAAAAAACATAAACTTGTTGAAATTTATTTTCTAGACATCTATACATGTCGCAAGTGTGAACGCAGTGTAAAATAGGACCGAGGCTCAAAGCAGTGTTAGTTAGCACTTCCTTTATTCTTTTATCTTGACGTATTATCTTATTTTCAACACAATTTAACTTAAATTGTGTTAAAATTTAATTTTGTCTTGATTCTTTCCTGGTGTCCTAAAGCTTCTTTATAGTATCGGTGGTAAAATATACCTCTTCAGACCTCGCTATCCATTGGGCAGATCAAGTAGTGTTCATAGTTTCTTAACCTCGGCATATGAAGGGATGGTGTGGTCAGCACTATGCCCAGCCACCTTTACTTTCCCTTACATGAGTTATGTACCCATCAGAGCTGAGTGGACTCAGTGACGTCCTACAGCTACAAGTCCGAACCTAGTTCCGAACTCACGACCTTCAGGCTAGCAGTCAAACGCTGTATACTTCGACTGCGCCTTGTAAGGAGTAGTGGTTTATGTAAATAGATGTAAATTTTATAATGCTACACGGGGTGGGTGAAAAAAAAAGTTATTCAATTTTCGTGCTATATCTACGTATACTAAAAGGGGTGGTGGTTTATGTACATTTATGTAAATTTTACAATGCTACTCGGGATGGTTAAAAAAAAGTTATTCAATTTTTTCGTGTTATATCTACGTATAAAGGGTGGCGGTTTATGTAAATTGATGTAAATTTTAAAATGCTACTCGGGATGGGTAAAAAAAAAGTTATTCAATTTTCGTGTTATACCTACGTGCACGATCCCTTCTCTCTCCAGGCTGCTCCTACGTCATCTCCCTACCCGCCCTGTCCGCCATCTTGGACATGAGCCCCTACGTCCCCTTGCTCCACTTCGAGGACGCCTACATCACCGGCATCCTCCGGCGTCTCCTGGACATCCCGCTGTACGTCTTCGACACCACCGTCTTCACCCACACACTCGACACCGAGTGGACGCGCTGCCACTTCCTCAACGGCAGCAAGGTCACCGGCACGGGGGTCGGCTACGTCTACAAGCTGACCAACATGTGGGCCAGCTTCCTGCACGACGACGGCCAGTGCCTCAGGTACCACCTCATCACCCTGCCCTGCGAGTGCAGCGACGACGAGAGCAAGCTCGCCGGGGATAAGGGGCTGGTGGACTTTCACGTTCAGCGGTAGGCTGTCAAGGCGGTCTAGTGGTAGGGGGGGGGGGGGGGTGGGAAGCTGTGGCGGGTCCATTGTATCATTTCTCCAAACCTTATATTTATATTTTTTTCAAGTATATGTATAAAAGTTTATATATATATATATATATATATATATATATATATATATATATATATATATATATATATATATATATATATATATATATATATATATATATATATATATATATATATTTATATATAGTTATATATAGTTATATATAGTTTTATATATAGTTTTATATATATAGTTATATATATATATATATATATAGTTATATATAGTTGTATATATATAATTTTATATATATTTACATACAGGTATATAGACCTAAATAATATTTATATACACAATATGTGTTTCTATGTAGTATGTACTTATGTGTATGTATCAGTGTGTGTATGTGTGCGCGCGTTGCGTGCGTGCATGTATGACTGTACGTGTGCTTGTATTCATCAGAACTGAACAAAATGGAAGAAAGAGCTGAAAATTTAGTTAAGCCTCCAGTAACAAACTGCGTATATGTGGTTATGTGTTAATTAAACAAAATAAATACGCACAAAAAAGTGACTTTGTTTGTAGTAGATCTGTGTATCTGATTAATTTGTGTCAAGCTTGATTAATGCTTCAGAGGTGTCTATTATAGACATGGAGAAGTGCAAGGCAGAAGTCCATGACAGGGTAATTAAGAAGGAGGAAGTGGCGCTGGGTGGGACACACACTGCGAAAGACTCACTCTAATATGACACGCCAGGCGCTTGTGTGGAACCTCCAGGAAAGGCGAAAGAGAGGGCGCTAAAGACAGACATCGAGGCGGAGTCTTCTGGAAGAATTAAAGACAGCGAGGATGTCTAGGGAGTTTGTAAAATTCCACAGCCGGGAACAGGAAAATTTTTTTTTTAAAGGCATCACTCCATGGGGGCACTACCCCCCCCCCCCCACCCCTCCCAGCGATTCTACTGCTCACCTACTCGAGAAATAGAATAAAATATATAGAAAGTATAGTAGACAGAGTTTCTTCCAGGCATCTCTTCGGGGGGGGGGGGACCCCCCGAAAATTTTTTACCGCCCCCCCCCCCCCCGAACGAAATGAAATTTATATAATTTATATAGAAAATATATACTTTTAACAGTGTCCGCCCCCCCGAAGAAAGTTTACCGCCCCCCCCCCCCCCCCCGAAGATTTCAAGTGCCCCCCCGGAGAAAAAAGTGTGGAAGAAACACTGATAGTAGACTTAAAACCAGTGTCCCAATACCAATATATTTTTAAAAATAAATTCGCCCCATGAACTTTTATACAGGTGCACAGTGTAATGCAGCTCTACAATGCAACATCGATTGGATGTCATCTTAAATTTTATTCCCATGCCTTGAATTTGAAATTGTTCACAGCGCAGCGGGTTTTACCGGAATGCATTTTCACGCGACAGGAAGTTTAGAAGTCTTGTTCACTGTGGTTTCAAAAAACTTAATTTTTTTTACAAAACAAACTATTTAAAAAATATATATATTTAATTAAATGAAAAGTAACATAGTTTCATAAGTACAGTAGTTTAATTTTGAGGAGAAACTGTTACACCCATGTCTGATTGGATAAAATATTTTAAAAAATGTAGATCACTGTGTCATAATTTAGGTCGTTTGTTACTTTTCAATGGCGAATAGGTCTAGAAAGCTAGATCTAGTCTAGATTATTAGGCCCTATTCCTTTTATTTTAAGACAATACAGTTCACAGAGTTTTTATAAAATTTCGATAGAAAAGACGTAGACGATGGACAGATAAAGTTAGACAACACAGTCAAAAATTAAGGTTTCAATGTTTAGATTAAGCTTCAATTTGTTAGGTTAGGGTTAGCGTTTGGACTAAAATGGCGACACCAGCGTTCAATCGATGACTTAGTGTGGCAATGGTTGAGAAGTACTCACATTTTTTATGAAGGTAAGGCGCATTTTATTTTGTTACTGTATCGATAATCTAACATGGTAGCCGCTGATACATTAGCATTAAGTGTGGTGTTGATTTATAGCTATACGTCTTTACCGTTAGATTTCATGCGTTGTTATCCGTCTTTAATATTTTGTGATGTAAAGTTATCCTAATTTAGCATTCATTTCAGGTATAGTTACCCGTCTTTTTATTAATGTTCATATGTAGTCATCGTCTATAACATTGATGTTGATGTGTAATTATCATCTATAACATTGACGTTGATATGTAGTTATCGTCTGTAACATTGACGTTGATATGTAGTTATCGTCTATAACATTGATGTTGATGATCCGTATATAATTGACGGCAATTCGACGATAGTCCCAAAACCAACTGCCTGAATTGCCGATTTCCTATGAATACATAATTTAACGGGTATTGAATATGATAGCACAGTGTTGATAAATGTGATCATGCCTGTTTCAGATGTTGATAAATGTGAGTCTGTTTCAGATGTTGATAAATGTGACCGTACCTGTTTCAGATGTTGATAAATGTGACCGTACCTGTTTCAGATGTTGATAGATGTGACCCTGTTTCAGATGTTGATACATGTGAGTCTGTTTCAGATGTTGATAAATGTGACCCTGTCTGTTTCAGATGTTGATCCGGGTGACACGAAGTCACGTGATGATACCGGTGAAGGTGTTCTACCTGTGTCTGCTGACCCTAGCGCTCACGCTGTACCTCCTGCGGGACCATATATCCCTAACCCTGGGTTGCGCAGACACGCCCACATTCGACCCACGGGCTACTGACACGACTCTTCACCATGCGCAGGATGGCGTCGCAGAACAACACATCTTCAACATCTCACGTGACTTGAAGCGCGTCCCCCGGGACGTGACCCGCCACCCGCGCGGCCCGGGGGAGTACTTCACCCCACGGGAACACCGCCAGCAGAAGATCATCGACACCGTTCTCCTCGCCCCATGGGCCCTCTGCGTGACGTCACATCCGTTTCTCATCGCCGTCCAGCTCTCCCTAGCGTCCATGACAACCGAGCGGGAAGCCGTACGGACTACATGGGCCAGCGCGGCCAAGACGAAAATCTGGCCACACGAGATGATGAACGCCGAGGTGGGGGTGGTGTTCGTTTTAGGACGGGAACCCAACGCCACGGAAACTTGGGGGGCGCTGCGTACCGAGGCTGATAAACACGGCGACATCCTCCTCCTGGACATGACGGACAACTACACCAACCTGACGCTGAAAATTGTATCCGGGTTCACCTGGCTGAGTCAGAATTGTCCGGGGACGGATTTTTTCCTCAAAGTGGACATGGACACGTTCGTCAACCTGCCAGTGCTGGTGGATCTTCTCATCCATAACCGTCTGCGGCTTCAGTACGCCGTGGTGGGGCACATGTACACCGACGCCCGGAGGGTGCACCGGACCGGGCGGTGGGCGGTGGACCGGAAGCTCTACCCGCTGGCTATCTACCCGCCGTATGCTTCAGGTAATCAAAACTTATTTTTCATTAGATAGGTAACAGGTGGAGATAGCCCACTATTCATAGATCAAACTGTTTGTAAGACAAGAGCATACTCTAACAAAGACGGTTTGGGAGCAATGCTCATCAAGCACTTGGTAAGACCAAGAATATATTTCAACAAAGATGGTTAGGATTAGCACTTGGAATCAATGCTTCAAACATGGCTGTCTGGCACCATCCAACAAAAAGAGTTTCCACATTACTTTTTATTTTCCATTCAACTACACACATTTTTAATTTATAAGGTAAAGTAAAGTTTCCCTTTCAAACCTGCCGGTTTATGGGGCAAGTGAAATAGAGTTCACTTGTTTCTAATTTATAAGGTGCATAGCAAAATCTACAAGCTTAGGCTGAAAAGTACATATTTTAAAATATTCACTGATATGGCTGACATATACATATCTAAATAAATAAACATGAAATATGATTTTATATATATATATATATATATATATATATATATATATATATATATATATATATATATATATATATATATATATATATATATATATATATATATATATATATGTATGTATTTTTTGTAAATTTGTGTATGTATATATTTGTATATATAAATATGTAGGCATATATATATATATATATATATATATATATATATATATATATATATATATATATATTTATTTATATATATATATATATATATATAGTGTTTTCTGTAGGGTGTGCCTACATTGTCTCTGTCAAAGCTTTGACGGCCATGACGGGTCTGGCGCCCTACGTCCCCATGCTCCCCATAGAAGACGCCCACGTCACCGGCGTACTGGCCCGGCACATCGACGCCCACCTGTACGGGCACCCCACCGTGTTCACCCACTTTAAGGACTTTTATTGGCAGCGGTGCCAGATGCTGCTCAAGACGAAGCTGGTTGGCACGCACGTGGACTCGGCGAGCATGTACGAGATCTGGGGGGCCGTACTCACGCGCAACCGCACGTGCTTCCCCGTCGACCGCTCCGAGCAGTATGAATTGTATTTGCCGCTCATCGAAAGTCCAGAATAGCAGCTGTTGCATTGTCTCAAAAGTCTAGAATAGCAGCTGTTCCATTGTCCAAAAAGTCTAGAATAGCAGCTGTTCCACTGTCTCAATAGTCTAGAATAGCAGCTGTTGCATTGTCTCAAAAGTCTAGAATAGCAGCTGTTCCATTGTCCAAAAAGTCTAGAATAGCAGCTGTTCCACTGTCTCAAAAGTCCAGAATAGCAGCTGTTCCATTGTCTCAAAAGTCTAGAATAGCAGCTGTTCCATTGTCCAAAAAGTCCAGAATAGCAGCTGTTCCACTGTCTCAAAAGTCTAGAATAGCAGCTGTTCCATTGTACAAATGTCCAGAATAGCAGCTGTTCCATTGTCCAAAAAGTCTAGAATAGCAGCTGTTTTATTGTCCTTAGTCCAAAATACCTGCCATCAGTTCATACATTCCCACCCATCAGAAGCCGAGAATAAACAACTGGTAAACAGCAAGAAAATCTACGCCGCTGTCGAAATAAAATTAAACGACAATAACTATGTACTAATTACAACATTGAAAACAACTGTGAGTTTGTTCATGTTTATCCTTTCTTGAGTTATTTGAGTAGAACTTAAGTTTATAAAATATCCTTTATCATGGGGTGGGGGAGGTAGAACATTCTAAAAAACCGTGCGCTACAGTTATGACATAATAACTGTTTGTTGATTTTTATACATCCACCAGATATAAAAATAAAACTCACTCATTATGTACTCTCGCACTACCCCACCCACCCCTTCATCTGTTTTTTTTTGCATCATGTTTTTCACCCGACGTTTATTTTATTTAATTTTTATTTTTTTTTACATTTTGTTAATTTATATACTCTTTTTTTCCATTTTAAACAATTTTTTTCATTTAAATTTTTAGCTGAAATAGTTTCTTAATTATTTTTTTTTTATTTTCAATAAAAATATTTAACAAAGCTGCATCCGTGTATATACACACTACCAATAATTTAACATTAAAACGTTAAAAAGTGGTTTATGTTTCATAACAAAAAACTACAACTGATGGTATATTGGAGCTATTTAATGACACTCACTTAACTCATTTATGAAACTCTCTGCAAGGTGGGAAAATCAACTGGGGTGGCATTTTAGGGGTTGAAACGGATTAATGGCATTTCAATTAAATTCAATGGAGAAAATTGCTTGGAGATACGAGCAATTTGACATACAAGCAATGTTACGGAATTAAACTCGTGTCTCGGGGTACCACTGTACTTTAATTAAGATGTTCAAACGATTAAGCTTTATCTGAGAAACAGTAGTTTTAATTACACCAAACACTATTTTCAAGACTAAACGTGTCTAATTTAATGTTTTTCCCCATCAAACATTGTGGGAGAAAAAATTCAGTTCAAGTCTAAATTAGCTTACATTTATCTGATAAAAATAAAATATTTTTTTCTTTTAAATCAAAACCGTGTTTCAGAAAAACGCAATCAAAAGTCTCCAGCAAAAAATAATTGTGTCTACAACTACAAGTACTGCAAGTTCCATGTCTTGAAACTAGGCCTTGTTCCGTGAGAGAGCTCGTGTTTGGCAACATATTTTATCCGATTATTTTTGGCAGAAATGTTTTTTTAAATAAATATAATTAAAGTAATATTTAGAATTATTTTTTTAAAGTTTGGATTTCTAGTTTTGATGGGGGGGGGGGGGTATTTGCTAGCAAATTACGCTACTGAGATTAACTAAACTTGTAAAATTTTGGCTTATAAATTCGTGGATTTAAGAAGTTTGACCAGCGAATAACATTTGATATTTACTAAGAAATTTAACAAAGTAAAGTAGTCTGATTGCATGCTCTATAAATTTTAACTTTAAACAGGGTAAAATAACTTTAATACGTGGAATATAAATGTTAACATAAACAAAGTAAAATAACTTGATCGCATGGACTATAAATGTTAACTTAAACAGAGTAAAGTAACTTGATTGCATGCTCTATAAATGTTAACTTATATAAACTATTCATATATATAACTATTCATGTTACAGCGATGGTTTTAAATATTGGGTTGAGATTGAAGTAGAAATGTAAACTGGATCTGACATTTGTGAAATATACTGAGACTAAATTAAATTCTCAACTTGCCACATTTTGAAATGTACTAAGTTTAAAATCTTAACTGGTCACGACATTTTGAATGTACTGGGATTAAATTAAAATCTTTACTGGACACACCATTTTTAAAATGTACTAAGATTAAATTAAATTTTAACCGGTAAAGACATTTTGAAAAGTTCTACGATTTAAAAAAATCTCAACTGGTCACGACATTTAGAAGTACTTGTCAGAGATCAATTAGTACTCAAGAACCGGCGTCCTTATCTGCCAACAGCAGAAGTAGAGCAACAGGTATGGGGCAGGCGTCGTTCTGGTATAGGCAGACGTCACTTGTAGTTTGTCGTTTGGTGGGACAGTCACCAGAACATTTCGTTTGGTGAGTTCTTCCGCTTCGTATGTGGTGACCTTTTTGTGTTTAGTTGAATGTGGTTATACTAGCTGTTTAATATTATGTTAATAGTGTGTGATTATACTAGCTGTTTAATATTTTGTTAATAGTGTGTGATTATACTAGCTGTTTAATATTATACTAGGCATGCTGCCCAGCTTCGCTTAGGCTTTCGAAAACATTGAGAATTTGCATGCTTAATTAATTCGCCCGAGGGTCGGTCTACGACCTCAAGAGTTATGAAGAGGTTTAATCCGTGGACATTTTTTTTCGATTTATAGCTCATATAAGGTACCGGTCAGTCGAGGTCAGTTTTGACCCCCTCATCGTAGACTTTTCGGCCAACCGGCCCCCGTGTTCTGTCGCCCCAAGGCAAGATCCTGCCAAATTTGAAGCGCCTGCGGCGCCGGGAAGTGCCCTATCGGACACCCGACAATTTAGATCTAGATCTAGATTCCTAAAAGAATTTTTTTTTAAGTTTAGCCCGAGCATAATAAAAATAAATACATTAACCAAGTTGACTTGGTGTGTCTCGAACCCGCACCACCTGCGTGGTTTAATGTACACTAACATCTTCGCTATTTAGGCAGATGACGTCAATAGTTAATGTATAAGCAATAGTGACGTCACAGTTTTATGCGTTCTTTTTCACATATATTAATGCTTTTCCGGTTGCATAAATAATACTGTTTCTCTACATTCGAATACGCCTTAAATTTTTATTTTTCTTCTTTAAATAAAATTGTGGTTATACATTTAAAACATCTAACATATTATTTTCAACAAAAGTCCGTAAAAAATTCTCGATATATCGCTGCCGATTCTGACGTGATGTCCGGCGAAAATTTTTTGCGGACAGAGAAAGAGAGAGAGAGAGAGAGAGATGTGCGCACACTGGGCTTTTATAAATTAGGATTAATAGTGTGTAATTATATAAATGTTTTTGGTATGCTAGGAGTACGTGTTTATGCTAGTTGTATGATTATATTGATAGTGTATTATTATACTATCGTTTTTGATGTACTAAAAGTAGCCTAAGTGATTATGCTTGGAGTATGAGATTGTACTATGTAATTATACTACACTAAGTCAAGGGCTATATTATTTGCGCAAGTCTTGGTTAGACTTGGTCAGATTTATTTTAGCTGCAGTTGTTAGTTTTTGTTGGTTGCCATTTTATCTGTAGCTGTTGGTAGAATTTGTTGTGTGCCATATTGTCTGTAGTTGTTGGTACAAATTATTTGTTGCGTGCCATTTTATCTGTAGTTGTTGGTACATTATTTGTTGGGTGCCATTTTTCGGGTAGTATTCTGAGGAATAGAATGTGCTGTGCAACTCTTGTGTCTACTGAAATTTCACTGAAACGAAATATTAGTGACGTTTTCGAATATCGTTATACGTTTAGTATAATCGGACAGTGCTTTTTCTAGACATTAATCTCCGGTGCGGGGGGGGGGGGGAGGACCAGAAATTCTTGTGGGGCGTACTCAAATTTTCGGGAATGGGGGGAAGGTTGGACACTTATAGAGTATATATTTTGTATATAATATTCTATTTCACTTTGCGGGGGGGGGGGGGGGGGGGTACATGCTTACGGCCATCGCCTCCCCCCCCAACCAACAGATGCATGAAAGAAACGCTGCAACCGGTTCTTCCTGTATTAGCTTTCTTGGCTTATGTTTTATCTTCCCTTTCCACTCTTATAAATTAAGGTAGTTAAAATATGTAAACAATTTTAAAATCTTTAACTTGAACTCTGCACTGGCCATCCAACAGGTTCTGGCATTGAGAAAAATGTTGTTTTTGATTGGTTTACTTGTTGCTGCTGGAGCAGTAGCAGCTGACGTGGGATCTGCCCACGTGATCATAAAGAACAGCCCACCGATTCTGTCTTTCAAACTCTCAGGTAGGTAGACGAAAACTTGACCATTATTAAACACTCCGTTTTTTTTTCTACGTTTAAAAAATTGTAAGAATTATAAAAGGAGAATGTAAAGAGGTGGAGTGAATTGGTGAATTGTTGAAAACAGCTATAAAAAAAAACAAAATACAACAACGATATTTTGACCATTAGTCTTTGTCAGTTGCTGAATATATGAGATTGAGACATTATTTGCTGGTTTTTCTTGTTGTTGATGTTTGTCCGTGTGTGTATGTGGGTGTTAAATTTCTAGATGCAAGTTTCGTTTTTTTACCTCAGTGTTGGTTGTTATACTAATTGGAAACTTAGCATCCTTCTTGATCAGTAAAAATATTTTTTCGGAAAACAAGTCTTTTATGTTTCAGAATAGACATGAACTTAACATTGTGAATGTAAGGTTGCAATAAATATAGCAGCTGGAACAATTTTTTTTAAACTTAAAGGATTTTTTTTCTTCTTCAAAGGTGGTGCAAGCGATGTCAATGACGTCACTTTTCATTACGTCATCAAGCACGTGGCCTACCAAGGACGCGGTGTTTCAACAAGTGAGTTGAATGTCAATGAGGCTAAATATGGTGGGGTGTGTGTGTGTGTGGGGGGGGGGGGGTGTGATTGGGTAATCGAGATTGTCGGTGCGAATATAAAAGATGGAGCATAATTATTCAATTGATTCATCTGATTCAATTGCCGCGGAGGAAATGTGTACACAGTACCTCAGGTCTACATTTCTCGCCAACTTATGCAGGGATTCCATTAGAGCTGAGTGGTGTTAGAGTTGCCCTGACGATAAAAAATCAGACTTCTTGTATACAGATTTTCAAACCTATGGCCCCCTATGTTGATCCCCATGTTAATCAATGGCACTGTGTATGCCCTCCACTCTTCATCTTTTCTACTGCAGCTAGCCTAGAATCTAGAGTTCTTGCCGTAAGCGTACCCTTAAGATCACAGTAATTATAGGCCGATTTAGTTGGGGAAAAAATTGGAAACATTTTGCTTGTTAAGGTTCGCTTGAAGCAAAAACAAATGTACTCCCGCCCTTCTAAGGTAGTGTGTCAGTCATCGTTTTTTTTTCTGGAGAAAGTGGTGTTTTGCACATTAAAAAAATCTCCGACAAAATCATTTAACACCGACGACATATACAAAGCTCAAATACAGAAATCAGCTAAGGTCTGGAATAGGGCTGGTAAGTAGGTCACCAACCAGTTCTATGACTCATGGTAGGTTTTATTGAGCCGTAGAACTGGTTGGTGACCTACTTACCAGCCCTTTTTCTTATGAGTAATATTCAATACAGTAAATCTATTTATGTTAAACACACAGTAAGATACTTTTTTTTTTCTCTGTGTAGCCGAAGGTTGGGTGTTCCAGGTTCGTGACGTCAGTCTAGACGGCGCCGACGCCATCACCGCCTATGCTGTTCTCTACGACAGCAACGGCAACATCCTGGAGACGACGCAGCGGTCGACACTCACTCTACGTAAGTTTTACAGCAGGGGTGGAGGGGGGGGGGGAGTTGGGGTGGGTGACAGTTACATTAGCACTGAGATAGGGATACTAATGGCTTAGAAAAAACACCACACTGTGTAATTTCAAACTTGAACAGTATTTCATGGTATCGATGTAAACGCGAATAGTAACCCTACATGAAAATTTAACACTAATTCTAAACCTAAAACGAACTGAAAGCTAAATTCGTATTGCGACATAGTTATTCAGCTCAATGGATATTTGTGATATATTAGTGCCACATTATTGCCGGGAGATGATGCTCGGCAACAGGGGACAGCAACCCAACCAGGAGAGACAACTCCAAAATTAAACAACTTCTGCCTTGTAGTTTGTTCTTGGTTGGACAAAGGCTCTGGAAGCAAACGCAAAAAGAAAAGCAGGCTGAAATCGGAGTCATCGGTCTATAACCAGTTGACACGTAATACTTAATGGTATTGGAGGAAATCACGTCCAACATTACCACAAGACCACATGACGTCCTCTAACTACCCGAGTACTGACGGTATTGTACACGACCTTGAACTTGCTCACCCTTCCCTTCTCGTCTGCTGCCAGACTCTCAAGGACCTGTTGCTCAGCTGTCGTCTGGTCGTCGTCTGCGGGCCGTGATATTCAGGGACGACTTCAACTCGTTCGACCGTTCCAAGTGGACCCACGAGGTGTCTATGTTCGGGGGCTATGTAAGTAGACTTTGTTCTCCGGTGGGGGGGGGGGGGGGGGGGGGGAAAGGCACTTGAAACTTTCGGTTGGGGGGGGGGAGGCGGACTTAAATTTCCGTGGGGGCGGACGGTGGACACTGGTAAAAGTATATATTCCGTATATAAATTCTATTTCATTCGTGGGAGGCGTGGGGTGTGGGGGGGGGGGGGACGTAGACATGCTTCGGGGAGGATGCCCCCCCCCCACACCCCTACTAGATTCCTGAAAAAAAAACACTGGACCATGTCCTAATAAGTCAGTATCCACCATCACATCTTCCAGTGCATAAAAAAATATCTTTTAATTAATACATCACTTTAAAAAATTTCACTATAAATTTCAGCTTCATAAATTTTAATGTATACTTCAGATAAAGAAATTAGATCGAAAGAACTGTTATTGTGATGTTAATAATTTTATTCATTTCAATTTTTTTACCCCCGAAAAGTTTGATTCTAATATAACAATGCAATACCCCCCTCCCCAACCATTTCTCCCTCTCCCCAGAACGGAGAGTTCCAGGTCTACACCAACGACCACAAAAATGTCTACATTAAAGACGGACATCTCTATCTGATGCCGGTAAGTGACGTCATACTACGGCTTTCATTCATCCGTTTATCATCATCGTATAATTTTTAATTTAAAAGTCCAATCATTTTTTTTGTTTTGTTTATCCAAACATGATTCTCTTTATGTTTTAACATTAAAAAGCGGTACTTTATTAAATTTAAATAATTTTTATTCAGGTGACGACGAGTGGTCAAAACGCAATTTTTAGGGATAATATATTTTAAAATAAAACTATTTTTTCCGTGTGTCATTTTTTCAGATACCAACAGTCAGTGACACCAGATTCGACGAGAACTTTCTACACAACGGACACATGGACATGCAAAGTGAGTGGTTGTCATAGATAGTTTGTTGGTCACAGCTTATGTGTCGAAGTATGGTGGACTTGCAGAGGCGTAGCGAGGGGGGGGGGGGGGACACATATGTCCCCGGGCGCCGACCTTAGGGGGAGGGGGGCGCCAAAATGGGTTGGAAAAACAAATTGAAAGGTTTGAGGGGGGGGGTGCAAATGAAAAGTTCGAGGGGGGAGGTGCAAATCGAAAATTTGAGGGGGGGGGGGGGGTGCAAATCAAAAGTTTGAAGTTTGAGGGGGGTGTGCAAATCAAAAGTTCGAGGGGGGTGCAAATTGAAAGTTTGTCCCCGGGCGCCGGGAAGGGTCGCGCTACGCCTCTGTGGACTTGATCTGTGGGTCGTGTGTATGTGTGTGTGTGTTTTGGTCGATTTTATTGCTGTTTTACAGGCTTTTTCTAAAGTCACTATGTCCGTTTATTTGTCTGTAAGTTTGTGATAAATATAACTAAACTTTTGATCTAATTCCAAGACAGCGACTTCCATATACATGTGTTCCTGATTACAACGCAAAAATATCCAATTTTCAATCTAATCAAATATTAAATTAGCCATTAAAAAATTATCTGACACATTTTATAAATCTATATACTTTATAAGTTTATTATTGTTACAGTTTTTTTTAAATTTGTTGTATTTATTACAAGTGTAAGAATTCAATGAGGATTCCGAATTATTTTTTTTTAATGTATCGGCAAATAAGCGGTTCTGACACTAAAAACAGTTTTAGTCAGAGAGTTGTCTGCCTTTGTTCCAGCACTGTTTGGCGTCTGCACGGAGAGCGGCAACAACGGTTGTACCAGGGACGGCAGGAACGGTTTCCTACCCCCCATCATGTCCGGCAAGGTCGAGAGCATCCCCACCCTGCGGTACGGCACTGTCGAAGTCCGGGCCAGGATTCCCCGTGGTGACTGGTTGTGGCCAGGTAACTGCTCGCGTTTAATGTCATGTTTGTTGGCATTTTTTGTAGAAGTGGGTTGCCAGGAAGGTTTTCGTTTTTTTTTTTTTTTGTAATTTAGAAAAAATAAAATTTAAACTTTTTTTAATAACATACTGTATATTATTACTCTATTTGGTTGACAGATTACTCTAAGTTATTTGACTGCTACAGGTATAAAAAAATATTTTCAATTTAAATCAACTGACTTATAGTCTATATCTAGTTCTACTATTTCGTAAAATTTACTTTCAGCTATTTGGATGCTCCCTAAAAACGATCACTACGGACAATGGCCTCGTTCTGGCGAGATTGATATTATGGAATCAATAGGTGAGGGCATAGACTAAAAATAGTATCTGTACAAAATCTCTAACCTTTTTAGTACCCTGTAAGAGAGCAGTTTGGCGCATGCGCATTAACCTTGTGACGTATCGTCTCGACTTAGGTAACGCGGGAGACATTGGCGTTGGCACCGTGACCAGCACGCTCCACTGGGGGCCGTCTGCTGACCAGAACAGGTTTTCTTTGACTCACGGAGAAAAGTAAGTCAAGGTCATCTGATCTTCGGTTTCTATCCGCAACGTTATGGTAACATCCCTCCCCCCCCACTCCAAAGCAATTTAGGCTAAAAGCTTCATTTTTTTGAGTAATTTCCGATAACCGGAAACGGTATTTACTCTACTTCTGGTTTCTCAAAAGCCGAAACCTTAAGTACCCTTTAATTTAAGAGGACGTTATTTCATATATACGTATTACTTTATATGCATAGGTTGGTTTCTTTCAACTTTTCTATAACCGGAAGTGGTACTTTACTTTATTTCCTTATGAACACGATAACTTGATTTCTGTTTCAGTTAGGTAGAGGAAATTTCACACAATGATATTACATCTTATTCTCTTGTTTCTTTCAAATTTTGAGTGATTTCCGGTGACCAAAAGTAGTCCTTAATGCTATTTGCGATTTCTCATGAAACCAAAAGAATTTGATAATTTTATGTCGTTCTTTTTAACAAAAAATAGAAAGTTTTTGTCACAAACTTTTACTGGAAGTTCCACCCCAACCCTTATCGTTATATGAGAATATGCGAGAAAATTAATGGGGAAAGTTTATTTTTTAAAACGTTTTGTTAGAAGTACTCATTAAACATGACATTTTGTTTTGTTTTTTTCTCAAGGAAAAATGCCAACTGGCACACTAACTACCATGTGTGGAGACTGGAGTGGACCCACGATCACATTATGTACGTTTGTTTTAAACAAGTTTTTATTTGTTGTAATATCTGTCTGAATCGAGCGTGTAACCAAGATTACTATGCACTGTTTTTTTAAAGTATACGAAATTTCATATATACGTACTAGATCCTTTACTTGGTATTTCTTATTTTTTGAGCGACTTACGGTAACGTGAATTTGGTACTTTATTTCCTGTTTCTTCAATACCTTTTAAGTTCATATGGAACAGAATAATTAAATTAAATTTCGCCTCTATGTGTTTCCTAAAAAAAAAAAAGATTAGTTTTTGTCAGAAACTGACCTGCCCAATTCTATAGTCCAATTCCACTGGAGGTACCCTCCCAGCCCGTAATGGCTTAATGATAATGGTATATGGTGTATGCGAATGCACAAGGAAGTTTAGGGGAGTTTACTCCAGCTTTATGTATTTTCTTTAACCTAAATCTTCATCTATTTTACGTATGCCAACAAAAAAAATAATTTAGGCAGTAAAAAAATGTACTTAACTTAAAATATCACATGTCAAAATAATATTTAGATCTATATATTTTTTCTGTTGTAGAACTTTCATCGACAACCAGCAGATCATGAGCGTGACGCCCCCTGCCGGCGGGTTCTGGCAGAAGGGAGGCTTCTCTGGAAGCAACCTCTGGGCGTCTGGCAGCAAAATGGCGCCCTTCGACCAAGAGGTATAAGGAACTTTTTTATTTGTGTTGACATTGTTTGGCCTGTGTGGACAAAAATCATAGTTAATTAATCAAATAATCAACAGAATAATCATTAATGTAATATTACAGTTAATAATGTAATAGCTAAATAGTTGTTTTGACATTTTCACGTGAATTTTTTTTTAAGTTTCATGTTTTTGGCCGGTTTTTTTGTTGTTGACAATTTTACATCACGCTTTTGACAGTTTCACGATTTTTTATATTTTTTTTTTACTTTTTTATAAGATGTTTGACAAATTCACGTTGTTATTTTTACCTTTTTACATGTGGTTCTTGACAGTTTCACATTATCTTTTCGACCATTTGTACCTGATGTTTTTAATGTTATTTTTGCCAGTTTCCTTTTTTTTGACCGCTTTTCGTGATGTTTTTTGACAGTTCCTCGTTATTTTTACAAGTTTTAACCTGGTTTTTGACAGTTTCGCGTTATTTTACATCATGTTTTTGACAGTACGTTACTTTTTTGCCAGTTTTACAGAATGTTTTTGACAGTTTTACGTTATTATTGCCAGTTTTAACTTGGTTTTTGACAGTTTCGCGTTATTCTACATCAAGTTTTGGACAGTACGTTACTTTTTTGCCAGTTTTACAGAATGTTTTTGACAGTTTTACGTTATTATTGCCAGTTTTAACTTGGTTTTTGACAGTTTCGCGTTATTCTACATCTTGTTTTGGATAATACGTTGTTTTTTTTTCCTAGTTTTACACGATGTTTTTGACAGTTTCACGTTATTTTTGCCAGTTTTACATGATATTTTTGATAGTGTCACGTTATTTTCGCCAGTTTTAACTTAGTTTTTGACAGTGTCACGTTATTTTCGCCAGTTTTAACTTAGTTTTTGACAGTGTCACGTTATTTTCGCCAGTTTTAACTTAGTTTTTGACAGTGTCACGTTATTTTCGCCAGTTTTAACTTAGTTTTTGACAGTGTCACGTTATTTTCGCCAGTTTTACATGATGTTCAACGTGGCTGTCGGCGGTACCAGTGGTTTCTTCCCAGACGGCAACCACTACGGTGGCGTCACCAAACCCTGGAGCAACAGCCAGCCCCAGCCCGTGGCCGCCGAAAACTTCTGGAAAGCTCATGGCGCCTGGCAGCCGACTTGGCAGGGTGAAAACGCCGCCCTCATCATCGACTACATCCAGTTTACTAGTTTGTAATGTGGGACGGGAAATTAAAATGTTATGACAATTTTTTTTTCTTTTTGTATTTCAATGTGTTTTTGTATGTTTTTGTTGACGCTTATTTTACATGTTATGAGCATTCGCTTTTTTATTTAATTAAGTCGTCAAGTTTATAAAATTAGTTCGGTTTAACATGTCGCAAAATGAAACTTAAATTAAGCAGCAGTTTAAAGTTAGACAGGGCGCCTACGTATAAATCGATGAAAAAGTTAATTAAATGATTTATCAAGAATCGTTTGAGACAGAAGTGTAGCTAAGTGAGGGATGAGGGCGGGTGGGGCGGCTGCTTTGGGCCCTGCCCTAGCGGGGGTGGGGGGGGGGTAGGGCGCCAAATAGGGTAGAAAAATAACTTGTGTGATACGGAAAAAAACTATTTTTAAACAGTGGGAGGAGTAGGGCGATCTTTCGTCAAAATGAGTAAATATATAAATATGGAGGGGGGAGTAGGGGCGCAAAATTGTTAGTTCGAAATGGGTTGCCACGCCTCTGGTTTGAGAATGATGACGTAGACGTATGTACCTGACGACTAAATGGGTTAAACCTTAACCCGTTGTACCGGTTTGTCCGGCTCTTCATATTGACGTCACACGTACGTCGCAATGTAAACATCCGGTGCGTGGTAGTTATATAAAAAAAGACGTTCTGCGCTGTTGAAAGTTGCGGTGATGTGTAGGTAGGAATAATGCGTGTTGCATGCTAAGTAAATACAGGCGTTTTAATACCATTGGTAGCTCTTGTCCTTCGGTTCTCACCAGGCATATCTTCCACCCCAATGAACGCGGGGTAAACTCGTACCCCACCGTCCAGTACTCAGCTTAACCGTAGGGGTATAAAACGTTTCCTCTATTTGGAGAAAGATAGTGTTTAACGCGTATTTTGTGTGCACGTCATTCTAAAAGTCTTATACAAGGATATATGTATTTTACAAAAAGGACTGTGCGGCCACACAACCTCCTCTCAGCTTAGAGGGAACATCGGTTGCAAGCCCGTTTACCAAAAAGGGGCCGGGCACAGTCATGGCGCTCAGGGGAGTCTCCCGATTTAGGTCAGGATAACCTTAGGAGTCCGTAGGCAGCTGCTGAAGGCAGAGTCACTCCTGACTCCTACACCAAAGGCGCACATGAACGATCACGTATATAGGTAGTTGATCGGTGTTCAAAGACTGATGCAAAATGCTGGGGCCTCCTTAGGCTCATGAATGAGATAATCTCATAATATATCATGATTAATTATCATGATAATATCATGAGATAATCTTTCGGGCGGTATGGGCAGTAGGGTAGGTGAAGTAGAGTTCGCCGGTTTCCGTGACCTCGGTATATCAGGGAATGATGTCGTCAGCCCATTGCCTCGCTGCCTTTACTTTCGCTATGGGTGTCAGGTACCCATTAGAGCTGGGTCTCCGGACTCAAGGCTTTCGGGCTAACAGTCGTGCTTTGCTACCTTCCGACCATGTTGTCCCCTAAAGTCTAGTGTAGCCCTAGTCTAATGACATCGCGGTGTTCAGACTAGCAAAGGTGAGTTAAAAACAAATTTAAAAAGTCCATGGCAGTGTTTTTAAATTTATACGTGATCGCAAAAGCTTAATTGTGTGTTTTGTATGGCATCTATACAAGTTTGATGTCGGGATTTGTTATTTAACTAAACTATTTTGTAAGAAAACATTAGCCCAAACAAATTTGGTGCCTTGTGGTCGCTGCACAGTTACAAAAATAAATATAATAAGGACTAACATAGTTCATTATAAGCTGTTGCAGGATAGATCATTATAAGCTGTTGCAGGATAGATCATTATAAGCTGTTGCAGGATAGATCATTATAAGCTGTTGCAGGATAGATCATTATAAGCTGTTGCAGGATAGATCATTATAAGCTGTTGCAGGATAGATCATTATAAGCTGTTGCAGGATAGATCATTATAAGCTGTTGCAGGATAGATCATTATAAGCTGTTGCAGGATAGATCATTATAAGCTGTTGCAGGATAGATCATTATAAGCTGTTGCAGGATAGATCATTATAAGCTGTTGCAGGATAGATCATTATAAGCTGTTGCAGGATAGATCATTATAAGCTGTTGCAGGATATATCATTATAAGCTGTTGCAGGATATATCATTATAAGATGTTGCAGGATATATCATTATAAGCTGTTGCAGGATATATCATTATAAGCTGTTGCAGGATATATCATTATAAGCTGTTGCAGGATATATCATTATAAGCTGTTGCAGGATATATCATAAGCTGTTGCAGGATATATCATTATAAGCTGTTGCAGGATATATCATTATAAGCTGTTGCAGGATATATCATTATAAGCTGTTGCAGGATATATCATTATAAGCTGTTGCAGGATATATCATTATAAGCTGTTGCAGGATATATCATAAGCTGTTGCAGGATATATCATTATAAGCTGTTGCAGGATATATCATTATAAGCTGTTGCAGGATATATCATTATAAGCTGTTGCAGGATATATCATTATGAGCTGTTGCAGGATAGATTATTATAAGCTGTTGCAGGATATATCATTATAAGCTGTGGGACATAAGAAAGGATGAGTAAATCTGATGAGACAGTTTGTATCAGCCAGTGACTTGTCTAGAGTATGTAAGGATGTAAAGACACACACACACACATACACACATATGTTATATAGTAGTGTCCGATACACGGCACACATCAACCCTCTGCTACATGGCAGTGTCACAGACGTTCAGTGCCCCATACAAAACACACCAGCTTGCTGTCACTAGTTACATATATTCCAGCCCAACAGCCTTCGCCTTATCAGCAGATCGCCATCTTGGTTCTGTCCGCACACATTGTAGATATACAACATTGGTTGTTTTTTTTTTTTTTTTTTTTTTACAATCATTGTTAACACTTTTTTCTTTTAATATGTCGCACAAGGACAGACTTAGAAAGGGGAGACAAAACGGTGGGTAGGGGAGGTAATAAATGGTGTTTAAAGTACTTAAACTTAAATCACTGGATGAGGCGACTAGCGATAATAATCGAACACTTGTCCGCCCTGATACCGGATATTGTTCTCTTGTCAATAAAAACATTATTTTAATCAGTTTATGTAGAGACACCTAGCGGATCTCGCAAACTATTGAATTGATAAATATCCGGTATTTTAAATGTGAGATTGTTATTATTTTAACTTAATCATTCTATGTCTCGTAAATAGTATGTTTTAGTACATAACCAAAAAAATATACACAGCAAAGATAATCAAAATCAGTTAATTGGAAAAATAAATGTGTTTATTTTGTTAAATTTTTTTACTTTTAGTTGAAAATGCTGTTGTATCTTCTGTTATCGTTGACGGTGTGTGCCGTTGGAGCTGTGGATTTGACCATCAGGTATAACCCACCTGTAGTATCACTCACCTTACCAGGTAAGTTAAGTTCGGTTACATTTTTTAAATGTAATCTACACCTATTTTGTACTGCTGATCATTTGTATTTATCTTTGAGTAAGCCAGGGAAGTAAGGTTACATTATTAATGCATGTGTAATCTACACCCCTTTTGTACTTCAGATCATTTGTATTTATCGTTGAGTAAGATGTTACACAGTGGCGTCGCTAGGTCGGGTGTCACCCCGTGCAGCACTTCGTGGTGTCACCCCCCCCCCCTCAAGAAACAAAGTATATATATATATATATATATATATATATATATATATATATATATATATATATATATATATATATATATATATATATATATATATATATATATATATCTGTCTGTCTCTCTCTCTCTCTCTCTCTCTCTGTGTGTGTCAGCCTACATAGGCCTGTAATTTAAATATATGCTACATACGCTTATATGTATGTGTATAAGCTTTAATCACTGCAGAATTAATAGTAACAATGTTTGTCTATAATCTGTTAATAATACAGTTGGATGTAGCATTGGTTTCTCTATAGTATGTTTTCGTCATTGTGTCACCCCCAGAGTCTTATAATAATTGTCCATTTGTACTTCAAAAACTATTTAACTTTTATAAATCATTAATGGATCTGGCAAAAAAGCATTTTTTTCTGTACATTTTCCAATTGTTTGCCAATTGTTTGCCTTGGTGTCACACCCCTAAATGGTGTCACCCGGCGCAGTTCGCACCCCCCCCCCTCCGCCCTCGCTACGCCTATGATGCTACTACCAACACTAATCATGATACATCCACAACATCCACTTGTCTCATAACTAAACATTCTGCTTCGTCTAGGAAAAGGAAGATAATAAACCGGGAGAGATCTCCCCTAAACTTTCTCGAATATTCTTATATAACTTTGAATATAGACAGACAGACAGACACACAGACATACGGACAAGATTGCAAAATTATGTTTTTCCGTATCAATGAGGTGTAAAACGTCGAGATTTGTAAAAATCTCTATTTTTTTTGGACGATTACAATACTTTCTCTATACTTCGTATATACGAGAAAGTAAAAATGAAAACAGAATTTTAACATTTAGGTTATTCAATGTTCTATGTGAGATAAGCACGCGAATTAATATATATATATATATATATATATATATATATATATATATATATATATATCTATATCTAATATATAAAGCTCAGTTCTGTATGTAATGCATGTTTGTCGTTGACACTTCTATGGATTTAAGTGTTAGATTTTTTATCGTGCTCATAGTCTAAATGTACGAGTCAAAAAATTACCATTGAAAGTCTTTAAAAACAATTTTCACTCTATTTACTTAGAAGAATAATTTTCAATTATGAACACGACATAAAATTTTTAAAAAGAGTATCGACGTTTATAAAATTTCTAAAATTGTGTCGGAAATGTATTGACTGCACAGTTACTTCCCTTTAATAAAAAAATTTCTTAAGAAGAAAGAATTTACATTTTATTACTTTGTTTTTGGTGTTAAGAAAAAAATAATAATTACATAATTAGCGGGGATTGATTAAGTGCAATGTCGTTAGGTATTTTTAACACTGCCTTTTATTTATTCTATACACTGAACATACTGTTCAATATTTTTTTTTTTAAATCAATAACATTTAATAAGCCAGGTCCTACAAATCCTATATGTTTATTTCTTTCCATTTACGGATAAGCTTGGAGTATTATCATTTTTGTTCACTAAATTGAAACAGGCGCGTCCGCCGGCGCCCTTGCACGGTTCGATTTGGCACCCTGGGCTATCATGTGAGCGCTATGCTGCATAGTTTTGTTTTTAACAGTGCGATAGACTATGGGTAAGAAAGGTTACTATAGACTTTAAGTGAATCAAATCCGGGCGTCCTCCGGCACCCCGACAGGGTGCTATTTGGCGCCCCGGGCCTTCCGGTGTACGCTATGGTATATACGTTCGCGTGAGTTCAAAAGACTATGAATAAGTTATGTACTATAGTCGTTTACTAAGTTCAATCAGGCGGTGACGTCATGGTGCGTCCTCTGGCGCCCAGACAGGGTGCTATTTGGGGTCCCGGGCCTCCCGTGTTCGGTTTCGCGCCTACGTTCATTAAAGTGAGTGCAAAAGACTATGAATAAGTTGGGGTACTATAGTCGTTTATTAAGCTGAAACAGGCGATTCCGCCCCGGGCTAGACTCTGAGCACTGTGCGTTTATGTTCGCGTTAGTGTTTTCTTTGTGTTTAGGTTGGGTTTGCGTTAGTGGTTGCGTTTTGATTTGGTTCGTTTTTGTTCTTTCTTTTTTCGTTTTCGTTTGTGTTTTATCTTCTTTGCGTTTGTGTTTGTATTTGTGTTTGTGGTTGGTTTTGCGTTTGTATTTGGTTTGTTTTCGTTTGTTTTTTTCGTTTGTGTTTTTTTCTTTGGGTTTGTGGTTGGTTTTGCATTTGGATTTGGTTTGTTTTCGTTTGCTTTTTCGTTTGTTTTTTTTCTTTGTGTTCGTATTGGTGTTTGTGGTTGTGGTTGGGTTAGTTGTTAGGTTTTTGTTTTCGTTTGTATTTGTAATTGTGTTAGCTTTATGTTTGCGTTTTGTTGTTTTGGTTTGGGTTTGGGTGTGCAATGCCGGGTTTATGATGATTACTAAACACACAGGTAATGGTTTTTCACAGAAGCCAGAGCAGGGCCTGGCCGGGACGGCTAGTATATATATTAATATATATATATATATATATATATATATATATATATATATATATATATATATATATATATATATATATATATATATATATATATATATATATATATATGTGACGAGCGAACATTTATCCTGCCGACAACGCCAATTGTAACGAGCCAACAGTTACCATGCTCGCAACGCCACATGTAATGAGACCTAATTGCCTGTAGTGCCACGTGTTAACGAGTTTAACCACTCATTCTAGACAACATTGACCACAGTATAGATACTCAAGATGCAGGTTCGCTATTGATCCTTTATTACATGAATCAAGAAATGCTTCATAATAACACAATAAATCAACAGGAATGCTTCTCAATAATAGTCTGAATCAACTGACCCCTAACAGTCCTTCACTAGGCTTCATATAACTGAATCCACATGTCTATAATCCTCCTTAACACAATACGGCTAACCCGTTCTATAACCGACTTGACATAGTCACACAGACTGACTGATCTAAGCGAGCGATGAAGGAGGTAAGAGCCTCGAAACGGGAAGAGAGAGGACGAGTTCTGCCGTCCCCTCCTATTTATGCCTTGAAATCGTAGTCGTACTTGTCTCCATTTCCGTAATCGATACTTGTAATCGATGTATCCGAATACTAATGTCGCAGTTTCTGACGTACCGTCCGATTCACTAAAACATCTGCGTCCCATCCATCAAAGTTGACAGCTCGTCTGAAACTTCTCGTACCGTTTCCCAAAATAGCACGCGTTGGCTTTGAGATTGTTATCAGACCGATCCAATAAGCCACCTGTTATGGTTGCGTCAGATTTCATACTGCGTCGCGGCTTCTCGTTCGTTATCATTTGTAACTGGTAGTTAGGCCTACCCCAGTTACATCCACCCCTGCTTTTTTTGTGTGTTTTCAACCACAAACAACGCCTGGCAGGTGCACTCCTCCAAAGTCAATCGCACAGTCGTAAAAAAAAAAAAATTTATTGTTCCACTCACTGTCCACGACGTTCCATTCGTATACGATTGCCAGTTATACCTATTTCACATATCAACTGTGTCTACATCATCTTCCTGAGACACAAAACAGTTCTAGAATTCACATCCACCCTTTCCATTTGGTGCCTTCACCAGTTCACTTCTATAGCTCTTTGAACAGTCTGTTTTCATACCAGCGCGACCATGAAAGAATTGATGGTTGCTGACAAAAAATTTCGTATTCCTTCTGTTCCTTAAACTTCTCCGCGGACCACTTATCTGATGGTCTACTGTCTCTCTGCTTCTGGAGGGACCGGGATCCTCATTGTTGCCGGTATCCTCCCCTTGCGTATCGCGGTTGTTCTGTTGATGGTGATATGGTTCCGGAATGGGTATGTGAATTTCCGTTATAACTTCCGGTTCCCTAATTGTCTTGGGTTTCTCTGTGTGTAACTGCTCTTCTTGCCTATTCCAATATTTCTTTAATTGAGCAATATTCGCCCACCGATCCGGTTTGGCGTGATCGATGGGTCTTATCTTAAAGGGGCCACCTGCTGCTTTAGGCATCTCCACGACTTGCCATATCTCCTGTCCCCAGAGATCGTGGATTTTGTTTCTGCCTAACGGGTGGCTACGCAGTAATACCCTGTCATTCAGTTTGAGTGGCGGGTCCTTCGTCTGTATCGGCGGTTCCCTTCGCCGAGATTCATGTTCTAGTCTTTCCTGTACTACCCTGTACATTTCTCTAATTCTTCTCATATGTTCATTCACATATTCCAGTGCGGTGTATGAGCCAGTCATACTCTCCCTTTTTCCTAGGAACAAATCAAGAGGGAGTCGAGCCTCTCGTCCGAACAGCAACATGTATGGCGTAAAGCCGGTTGTGGCATGGGGTGTGCAGTTGTATAGATATACCAACTCTGGGAGAAAATCAGGCCAACGTTTTTTCTGTTCAGGTTCTAGCGTACGCAGCAAATCATGCATGCTGCGGTTGAACCGTTCACACTGTCCGTTTCCCTTCGGATTAAATGTGGTTGTTCTAGATTTGTTGATCCCGTAGTGGCTGCACAGTTGGTTAATTACTTCTGACTCGAAAGCCCTTCCTTGGTCAGAGTGTAATTGTCTTGGTATGCCATATTTGATGAACCAATGTTCTAATAAGACCTTTGCCACTGTTTTGGCAGTCTGATCTCGTGTGGGCACCGCCACAGTCCATTTGGTGAATACATCAGTCATTACCAACACATGTTCCGTCCCATCCGATGATTGCTCCAACGACGTAAAGTCCATAGCCACAATCTCTAGTGGTTTTGTCGCCAGTAGGTGTCCTGATGGCTGTCTCATTTTGACAACTGGCATTTTCGCATGCTGACACCTCACACAAGCCTCACAATGGCGTTTGACCTCCATTTCCATATTGGGCCAGTAACACCTCCGTCGTAATATTTTGTGCGTCCTGTCCTGACCTTGGTGTCCTGCCCTGTCATGTGCCAACCTTAGCACTTCTTCTCGTAATTGTCCCGGCACCACCACCTGGTGTATTGTGCCATCAATTTGGTCATGAATTCTCCGCATGAGAACACCATCCTTTATACTGAGACGGTTCCACTGACTCAGTATTTTCTTTGTTTCTCGACCAAATTGTTCTCTTTCCCTTCTTCCTGGGAATTTTTGTTCCTGGACGTATTTCAATAGCGGTTGTAAGCCACTATCCGTTCTCTGGGCATCTCTTATCTTTTTGTGATTAAGGCAATTAAAATCACTACTGTCCATATGTTCGGGCTCTGTGGATATGTGCTCCACCCCGGTCTGCCCGTTCTGCATCACTTGTACCCCATGAGGGATATCTGTTGACGCTCTGACCTCACATATTCCTGTCAGTGTTTCTTCCTCATCACCCGGTCTCTCGTAAGGATTCCTTGATAACGCGTCAGCATTACCATTGGACTGCCCTGGGCGATATTTTCTCTCCAGGTCAAAGAGTGCCAATTCTGCTGCCCATCGCTGTTCGATGGATCCCAACTTTGCTGTAATTTGAAGTTCTTTTTCAATATCTGATAATTTTTCTAGTTTGCCAACACTGTTCTGTTGTCCACTATTTTTATTTACTTCTTCCGATAACAGACACTCTAAAGATGAACATTTCTCCTGTGCTTTTAATTTGCATGAACTTTTCCTATCCAGTTTCCTGGTTAGACTTTGAATTCCTTTATTAAGTCTACCAATTTTCTTCTTATCATCATTTTTCTCTACCAACAAATTGTTCACTTGAAACTTTTCAACATTCAAGTTCATTTCACAGTTCATTTTTTTCATTAGTTGTGTTTTGCCTTTCTTTTTCTCCTTACTGTGTTTCTTTGTCATTTTGTTTACTAAGTCATTACCTCGCCGCTCTGTAGTCTTGACCTGCCGTACAGAGAGCGATCGTTTCACCGGACAGTGTTGTGCCATATGTCCGGGTTGTGAACAAGACAGACAAATTGGTCGACCGTCTGCCGTCCATTGGAGTGATGGCTTGGCAGGACGCGGCCGTCCAACCCGTCCCTGTTTTGTACCGTTCTTTTCCTGATTCTCAGCTGTTGACCTGCTTTCCAACCACTTCAAGCGTTGGTCAACCTTCTCTAGGTGGGCCAACAGTTGAGCCATCATGGTCTCCATCGTGTCGGCCCCTGTGGGTGGGGATTGTCTCTGTTCAGGCACAGAGACTTTGTCCACCGAACAGTTCGATTGGTCCTCATCCTCGGACCTGCGGATCGCTGAGTTCCTGACCTGAAGGAAGGTCAACTGCGGGTCTTTGTGGACCTCCTCCCTCAACTCTCTTCTTAGGATCGGGGTTGCTAGCCCCTCGATGAACTGGTCCCTCAGTAGGCGTACATCAATGTCCGGTATTTTGACCTTTACCGAATCAAAGGCCCTGTTCATCCTGTGTGAGTACTCCATCACACTCTCCGCCATTCTCTGCTTTAAGCCCACGAATCCCGATAGCAGTTGCACTCCCGACCGTCTCTCCCCAAAGGTCTCCATAATCAGATCTAGCACCTTATCTGGATCTGATTGGACGGTCCTATCGTGGCACTTAACCTCTGCCCTAACCGTTTCACCTATACTGCCCATCAGCAGTCTTAATCTTTCCTCTGGTGACATATGTCTCGAGGCCCAGGCCGCTTTGACCTCTTCACTGAACCTGTTGGTTAAAGTTGGATCTCCGTCCCCGTAAAATTTGTTAATATGGGACTCTCTGGGTAGGACTACTATATGGGTCTGCTTCTCGTCCAGAGTAGACATTTTCTTCCTTAAGTACTAAAAAAAAAGAGTTCTTTCTTACCGTGTGTGTATGAAAAATTTTTCCTCGTTCCTCAATTTTCACAGTTCCTGAATGTCCGAATTCACACACACACTAAACACAGTTATGCACAAGGTTGACTATAGGTGCCTTAAACGGCAAGTCTAGTTGAATTCATCCTGATCGCAGCGCCAATTGTGACGAGCGAACATTTATCCTGCCGACAACGCCAATTGTAACGAGCCAACAGTTACCATGCTCGCAACGCCACATGTAATGAGACCTAATTGCCTGTAGTGCCACGTGTTAACGAGTTTAACCACTCATTCTAGACAACATTGACCACAGTATAGATACTCAAGATGCAGGTTCGCTATTGATCCTTTATTACATGAATCAAGAAATGCTTCATAATAACACAATAAATCAACAGGAATGCTTCTCAATAATAGTCTGAATCAACTGACCCCTAACAGTCCTTCACTAGGCTTCATATAACTGAATCCACATGTCTATAATCCTCCTTAACACAATACGGCTAACCCGTTCTATAACCGACTTGACATAGTCACACAGACTGACTGATCTAAGCGAGCGATGAAGGAGGTAAGAGCCTCGAAACGGGAAGAGAGAGGACGAGTTCTGCCGTCCCCTCCTATTTATGCCTTGAAATCGTAGTCGTACTTGTCTCCATTTCCGTAATCGATACTTGTAATCGATGTATCCGAATACTAATGTCGCAGTTTCTGACGTACCGTCCGATTCACTAAAACATCTGCGTCCCATCCATCAAAGTTGACAGCTCGTCTGAAACTTCTCGTACCGTTTCCCAAAATAGCACGCGTTGGCTTTGAGATTGTTATCAGACCGATCCAATAAGCCACCTGTTATGGTTGCGTCAGATTTCATACTGCGTCGCGGCTTCTCGTTCGTTATCATTTGTAACTGGTAGT